TGCAGACTCACGTGTTAACTCATTCAATAAATTAACTAATATAGGTCATGGATTTAAATATACCGGCACTAATGCCACAGACGTGCTACATAGTGTATCTACAACTGTACAGTACAATGTCTGGATACATATTTATTAACCAATTAATTTTAGTTTTTAACTGGAAGGCGTTCTACTACTGGACCAAGATTTCCTATTTTCCAAGGGTTTCCTTAAACGGTAACCGTCCTGGAAATTTTTCGATTCTTTATTATGATGTAGTATATGATACTTTCAGAACTGCTTAGCCTTTGCGACTGAAAGTTGTAAAACTTGTAAACAAATAGTAATTTCGTTTACTGTCAGCAAATAGTTGTTTATTTAGTACGTTCGGTTTTATATTATTTGCTATTTTTAAAGGTCAGGTGCTTGTTGACAGGTCAATCATGTTTGTTTATTAGACGTTTCCCCTCTGATTATTTGAAGAAAATACTTACACCTACCAAGAATCCCATCACTGTTTTGAATTGACCTATTTTGAGAACTCAGAATCTATAATGGTAGGCTAGAGCTACCAATTTGAGGAATCATCGCGTTACTTTACTTCAAGTGTGAAAATTGTTATCTTTCTAGAATATCAGATATTTCTCATCAATAATACTGTAGGTACATCGTAAGAACAACCTCTTTGCGCAGGAAGGATATTGCTAATTAATTGTTTTCTAGATACACCGCTGCCTGTTGAGGTTGCATCGCCCAGGCATTAACAGATATAGGCGATGATTGAAGGTAATTTATGTACTCGCATTTGCCTGAAAAATCTTTAAGTAAGATGCATATTAAGGATCTTTGTAACTACAATCTTATTGTCAGAACATATAGGCGCAGAGCCAGATATAAAATTTAGTCGAGCTGAAAACTGAAACGTAAATCTTCTTTCAACAAGAGAACTGTGCTTTCTTTCTTTAACAAACAAAGATTTATCAGAAAGAAAAGTCGGCACTTAAGTATTATGACATTGACGTACACTAGGTACCTAAATCCCGTTTTTCCTCTAATTGACTAGTTAATTGTTTCATAACTTGAAACTGCTAACTAAGCCTAAACGCAGGCGCCTTGCGGTTTCTTAATCTGGCCGGTTTTTTCGAAATCACTAATTGATAAATTAAACAAATAAATTAAATGTTTGTTAACGCTAATGCTAGATGTAAATGTTTTGTTACTTGTTTTAATTAGTGCTAAACTAACAATATCGGGAAATAGGTACCTACCTACTAAGAGCCAATTTGCTTTCTAAATATTTATTAGTTTAAAAATAACGTCAATTTTTAAAGGTTCCTGCGAAAGTAAGATTGTCATTTTGTTCAGCGTCAATAGGATTGTTGATTAAGCTTCAGTAGACACTTAATCGCACTATTCGCACAGCGTAGCTTAAATAAGTTTTTGAGTTTTCTGTAAATTTACGCAGTAGCACGGGATCGACTGCCGACAAACTCTTCAGCAGTTTTGCAGATTAGTAATTGTAAGAAAAGCCAATGTAACTTTTATATTAAGTAGATAATTAACAAAAAGACAAGCTCTTACACTAAACAATAGCAATGTCTACGCCTGTTTAAAGACTCACTAAACTCACCAAGGAGTAGACGTACCTATCGTAAATAGGTAAATAGCCTAAATTATCATTGCCTTAATGACAATTTACTGCGATTAAGAAAAAAAATGCAGATTTTAATTCAAGACCGTAATCGCTGCTCTACGCTACGTCTTCGAATAGCATACAAACAGCAGCACACCACCTATGCATCTTTATCGACTCGAAATCTATAACGAATGTTGCATTAAACATAAATAACTTTAACAGGTGAACTAAATATTGCACCGTTTACTGCTACAGACTAAACAATAAGGCACAAATCTACGCGTTTACTCTGAAGTGTTGGAATCAATACCGAAAAGGCAATTTATTTTGTTCCGACAATAAGGTGTTCTCGGAAAATCACCGAAGTTGTTATCTCGAATATCGTATCGAAACAGTTGTTTGAAACGTTTGAATAATAATTTGATATCGAGACGTGAATTTAAATTACATTAAATTGACTTCATTGTCAACCGGATACCGGTTCTGTGTTTTGATAAAGGCTTTGTTAAGATAGTGCGTAAAATAACTTTTTGAATAAGGCTCTGGAATGAGCCTCATAATTGGAAATACACAAAATGTTTTGAGACAATTAAATTATGAGGAGGCACTAAGTAAGTATTGTTTACATTTGGTTTAATAGCCTAATGGCAGTTAATAAAATACAAAATTATTATGAATTATGTAAGATCCTGATAAAAGCAGTGGACAAGTAAACCTACTTGCCTACGAGTAAATTTATAACTAACTTGTCGATAAGTACCTTATATTACTTTTACCATAATAAGAGATTAATTATAAACTGACTAGTATATCTGCGTCATCAAAGAGACACAAGTCCTAGATTGCTGTCACATAAAGCCCTGAGAGCAGTAAAATGCGCCGCCACGCCGGAAGGCGCGGTAATAACTCTTAATATGGGCAAAACAGATCGTGCGCGCGCGCCTACTAAATTGATCTGTTCGTGGAAAATCGCGCTGTGCACAGCAGCAGATAAGAGATGAAAGATATAAATTGTATCATTTTATTCAAAAATACTTTATTGTTTTTGACAAGCTGCTTACAGACTCACAGAAAATCTAAAGCTCCAACAACTTTCAGGAGATGAATCTCTCAAATTAATTAATTACTCTTATCTTAATTAATATTATAATTAAGATTATCTTCATCGTAATTATAGCGTCCTTCGAGAAATTTGTAACCTTTTTCTTTTTGGTAGAGTTTTAAACGATGTTCAAGTAACATTCCCTGAAACTAGGTAGCTCTACTCTTTCAAAATTTTAAACTTTTCTGCAAATTAATGTTTTGAAACGAGACAAAAAGATTCAGTTGTTGGTTCTATCTGGTTGGGTCAATAATAGGTTTCATAGAATTATACGAAAGTTCGAAACTTTTTTATTATAAAATTAAGTCAAAGATGACTTTTCTTCATCGCTTCCAGTGTGTACTTAAGTCATATATTAGGAAACCGATCGGTGTTCGATTCGGAATGGGCTTCCTTATAGAACGTCTGTGCCGGGATTCCCACGACCTCACGAAGGAAGTATGGCCCACTGTTGGCAAAGATTAAAAAACTGTACATTTTCACTGATAGAAAAGAACGAAAATGTTCAACATCTACAGTAAAACATATAGTTTCGCATTCCATAACAAATATGTAATTAAAACAGTAAGGCTTGGTTGCACCATCTTACTTTAACTTTGACAAACGTCAAAAATCTGTCAAACTCTATACAAATAGCACCGGTTATCGTCATAATTACTGTCAAAGTAAGATGGTGCATCCCACCCTAAGTAATTACCCTAACAAATTAGTAAAATAATATGGCAGTTAAGTTGGCACTTGGTCTATGTAATAAAAATTATATTTTGCCATGCATTAATAGTCATAATAGGTAGTAATAATATGCGTTTCATTGTTATTTTATGTGAGAATGGTAGACCAAATAATTACATAATGTAGGTTTAAATACCATTATAAAAAAGCGTGCATTAAAATATTTAGAACTAATTTATTCATCAAATCAGATCCATTAGCTTCTAAGAACACATTTATAGCAATTTATAACGATCTAATCGCAATTATTACGTAAGGATACAATAATTAGCGATCAGAAAGTTTTTTAATCAAAATAATTATAAAATTATTGCATTAAAAAGCTTTCTAAGCATTGCGTAATGAGACGTGGGACAATGAGTCAAATAAAATATTAGTTTTTTAGGTTTCTTTGTAATATAGAGTCAATTGAGTTAGAAAATAGGTTACCTATTTAAAACGGTTTTTAAAATATTTTAATTATTTCTAATTTAGGAGTTCTTTATAGTTGAGATCGGAATATACATATTACATATGGTTCTCCGCCGAGTGAAAGACTCAACGTTAGATCACACTCGGCTCTTAAGTTTCCCACATCGATAATGGCACGTGCTTTCTACTACAAGAAAACGCTCGATTCTGTAACAATGTATCGAGTTCCGTAAGCGATTATAGCAATCAATCGATAAAGAAATGTTCTCATTGAGAAAGTGTTAAACACTCGCGTGTCGAGACAGTGAAATGTGTATGGAAATTAATTGTCTGCGGCGAAGAAAGTTACGGAATCTAGAAGTTATGCTAAGTAGAGATAAAGGTTTTGTTATAGATGTAGATTGATTACCATAGTCGGATGTATGGATTGGTCGTTCCTATACCGGACTACTTACAACGTTTATTAATATTCAGAAATAAATACGATCCATGTTTCACACAAAAAAAACATAAATGATGCCAATAAACTCAAATTATGACTCACTCTAAGCTTACTAAGTACATACTTATGTGTGAATAGGTACCTACTTCTCGTCATCATAACATAATAATTAAATTAAGTATTTTAAATTGCACACATCTCATTGTTTTGTTTTGGACAAAACACGCCTAAGTACTCTCTCGATCCATCAGTAAGCGGTCAATTAGATAGCTCGTTATATTAATCACCCTTAATTAATTACTTATGCAGCCCTAAATTTCATTTTTTGTCAAAGCTCCTCACAAGTTTTCGCGACGTGAACGCTTCAGGACGTTTTAAGTTTACTTTAAACTTTCCTTAAACTTCTAACCATGAAACTCATGGAGTTTATCACGTATCATTGGAACCTCAAGTATAAAAATTATAAATATAAAAGCCAAGTGAGTTTTGTATTTTCAAGTTCTTTTTTAAACGATTTCAGAACTAGAATTGACGGTGGAAAAAGCCAGTGAACGGATTTTCTTTTGTGACTTGATTAATTATAAAAATGTTGGTTAGTTCATGACCGATGACAAGGAATTTATTGTAGAATCTTCGTTTATGGGATTTTCGGTTTCTGTGGCTGTAATTTAATACTTTTTTTGTTCTTGTTTCAGAATTCGAGTGGCAGTGAACCGAGGTCTCGCAGTGCGACCCCCGACTCGCTGGACTCGCTGCCCAGCGGTGGGTCTGGTAGCCCGCCCGCAGAGTGGGCAGACTCCGCCACACCACCAGACTTTGTGTGAGTATTTAGTAATATCACAAGTTTACTCACTTGCGCTATAGTCACGGCTTATCCAGACTGGGCTCCTTTCTTTTAATTTCGACATCACAAAATTAATTACACTGCCAATTTCCACATGAGTTTAAGGTGCGTAGGTACTTATCGTTTTACCCGTGTATGAATCGATTTCCAAAATAAAAATCATTTTTAACTCAAGTTAAGTATTCTGTCCACGTGAGAATCGACTCTAATTCTTTTCGACCTTTTGAATCGAGAGAACCTAAAATTCCCTAGCAATACGTGTGTTTCTGGAAGTACCTACGATGCTGAAAGTTTAGCTTAATATGATGGTAGTGTTTTGTGCCCCTTGAAATCAGCTGAAATTACGTGGTGTTTAGCTGAAAGCTGAACCTTTCATCTATGTATTCGGCAACGCGTTATACGACCGAAAGTTCTATACAGGGTGTTAGGTAAATGGGTATATGAGCCGACACTAGCCCATGTTAACATGGGCATATAAATGGTATGGTGAAGTCAGAAATTTGATATCATCATTTAATTTTTTTAAATTTTCATACAAAATAAATTTTATTAAATCCGATTTGTATGAAAAATAAAATAATTAAAATGAAGATATCAATTTTCTGACTTCACCATACCATTTATATAACCATGTTAACATGGGCTAGTGTCGGCTCATATACCCATTTACCTAACACCCTGTATAGGTGTATACCTAACTAAACCAAGAAGATAAGTATTTTTACTAACTTACTCTTTTACAGTGATAGCTTCCCGCCAGCCGGCGCGCACGCACCTCTAGCCCGCACGCCGTCGGCGCCGGCCGGGGGACGCCGAGCGCGCTTATCACCGCCGGCGCAGGCGCACTCGCCGCCGCTGCCCATGCACGAGCTCTTCAAGCCCAACGACCTGCACTGGGCCGATATAGCTACTAATACTGGTGAGGATTATAACTTTCTTCTTCTTCGTTCCTCGCAATACGGAGCCATTCCTCGCGGACTACAGCTTTCCAGGCACTTTCGCTAACCGAACACTTAGTTGCGGCCTTGGTCTGGTCGAAACTAGAAACTAGCATGCATGGGACTTTTTGTTTCGCCCAATATTCGAATTTGCAATGTCAATTGGTGGGGATCAGTCTCCTGCAGAAGTGAATGAATGACCTGATGATGATGAAATGGATTAACAATTTCATATGAATAGAATTTCACGACGTGTTTTCTTGAGCATGCAAAGCATCAAAATTTGCTGACGGACAGTTCGTCAGTATGCTCTAGGAGGAAGTCCTGAAAAAAAAATCACTAATATTCAACTTTACTTTCAGAGGGCATCGAGCTTTTGGGGTACCAAAGATACGGAACAGTTCAGGGACCGAGAATAGGCAAGGAACGAATCAACGGATCAATCTTAAAAGACAATGATACATTTATGTAAGTATTTTTTTCATCCATCCATGCATTTTCCTGCCAAAATTTACTTACCTACAAGCTTCATTTATTTTATGACGAAACCCCCTTGACTGTGGTTGCGTGCAACTTCAAACTCCTGTTTTCTGATAATTTCTTTGCGGCTAACTCCACCTTCATTGGTTGCGTTTTATTGTTGATGAAACTTCCCACCAGACTACACAGGAGTTGCAGTGATGGGAACGAGAAGAAATATAATAATAGACCTTATAACTGGAAAACGTAGATCCATTTACCAACGATTGCATTCCCACAGAAACAAACACACAGCGGTGTCCCGCGCCAAGAGCTCGGCGTCCGCGCAGCAGCCGCTGAGCTTTGAGCACAAGTTCAACCTCGACCGGCAGATGCTCGACCAAGAGGAGGTGGGTACTGGAGTAAGGGACATGGCGATATAGACTTCGGGCCATTGGCGCATCTAGGGTTCTTTTTCAGGGTGGGGCCAGGCCCGTTATAGCCCAACATTGTGTGGCACCAGACCATACTGGGGATCGTGCCACCCCGGCCCCTCTGCTAATACGAGCATGCTTCGGGCTATGAACATGAACAACTTACCTCTAAGATAACTTTGGCGGCGCCTGACATGCCCCTCTATGCAAAGATTAGTTACAGAGTAATTTTGTGATTGCTATATGGAGCGAAAACCTGAAAAAAGACGATTTCGGATGTTTCACGTCCTACTAAAGTACCACGCCACAATAACAGGTTATGGGTTCGATTTCTGCAGTAATGCCTACTTGTAAAACGTTCAAGTGTAGCTATGTATAATAATGGTTGTTAGAGGTCTAGTAGGTAATGTTCTCTACCATGCGTTAAACGTTTAAGTACACAACAGCTATCTGCACGCTTTTGTCAGATTTAAAATATTACACGTGGATTCCAGATTGTAACATCCAACTGACTGCAAACCGTCCTATTGGAAGTGTGTTTGGAAGAAGGGTGCTAAAGTGGTCTTAATCCTCAGGAATGGCCCGAAGAAGACAGCTGCGTGGACATAGAGAGCCTCCCAGAGCCGCAGCTGAAGCGGCTGCCGCCGCTGCTGTGGCTGGAGCTGACGGCGCTGTTCGACCGCTACTCGCTGCCCTTCCACAAGAGGAAGCCTCCGAAGAAGAAAAGGAAGGAGGGTGAGTAGAAGTACTATCTATTTATTAAAGTACTCTTAATTTCTCAAACGATTAATAAGGAGATAGCGTGTACCTAGAAAGAAATCCTTGTTGTTCTGTATACCTAATCCAGTATTGAGAGAATTGAACTTTCGGAATTTAGATGTTCGAGACTATCGACTCTATTACGACTGAGAATCAGTTCAGGTTGTGGGACACTCATTCATAATGCAAAAAAAGTGTAAATACTAAGACTGGGAACAAAGAAATAAATAGGACATAGCCTGACGTGATGTTTCGAAAAGAAACATGATTTTCTCAATATCGGCCGGCTTGAGTCATTTTAGATACGATGGCTTGTTTGAGCCATTTTAGACTTATCAAGCCTGAAATCAGGGTTGTAACATCAGTTGTAACTCCCAAAATCACGATATAAATAGAAGACTGCCTTTCGGACCGTCTTAAGCTCTTCTTCTAACATGCCTCATCCTCGTCTTTTCATCGCCTTTTAATCCCTCTCTCCCTTCCAGAGGGCAACGTATTCGGCGTGTCCCTAGAGACGCTGGTGCGCAAGGACATGATCCTGTGGGAGGACACGTGGTCGTGCGTGCCCAGCGTGCTGCGCGCTCTATCAGCCGCCTTGCGCGCGCGCACCGCCGACGAGGGACTGCTACGCGTGCCCGGGAACAAGCAGAAGGTAAGACTATTTACAACTACTTGCAAGACAATTCCTTGAAAGGATTTTTAGCTTCACTATAAATAAATAATCTTTGGACAATTTCACACAGCGCCAGCTAGCCCCAAAGTAAGCAACCTAATGCTTGTGTTATGGGTGCTAGCTTAACGGATATACTACTTATATACTTTTTTTTTTAAATACATAAATATTATACATAGTCACACCCAGACCCGTCACAGAAATTAACATTCATCATTTCAATTTCTGCCCGGCCGGGAATCGAACCCGGGACCTCTCAGCATAGTAACTAGTCCGTTCTGAACCACTACACCAAACGGCCGACAAACTTCACTTCACTGCTAATAACCTCTCGATTTCACTGCACCTCCTGTAATCAGAATTATAAGCAGCGTGGGACGTCCACCCAAAAGGTGGACCGACGACCTGATAAAGGTAGCAGGAAGGCGCTGGATGCAGGCCGCTACCAACCGTGCGATGTGAAAGTCATTGGGGGAGGCCTACTTATGTTCAGCAGTGGACGTCCTGTAGCTGAAATGATGATGATGAAGCAAAATGTATGGCAGTTGTTATGCCTATATCTAGTTCGAACGGTTGTAGCTCCTGTGTAGCTAGATTGAACATAAAAACCCAATCAGCAATGTCTTTCATCATTTTGTCCTAGGTATGGTGTGGGTAGAGAGCTAAGGTACCATTACCAGACGGTACCATTGCAAATCAAGCAAGTTTAGTTTACGGGAATATTTCCACCTCTCGCTTCCACCACAACTTCTGTGTAGCCAGGATCTACAAGTTTATGTAAAATATGTAAAAATGACCCAACAAGAGACTAATTTGAATACTATCTTACAGATCGAGAGCCTCTGCCAGCTGATCGAGCGTGAATGGTACGGGCAGCGCGAGCTAGTAGAAGCCGCTCTAAGCCGCGCCAGCAGCCACGACATAGCAGCTGTCTTCAAGCGGCTGATGAGGGACCTGCCGCAGCCGCCGCTCACGCAGGAGCTCATGAGATTATTCTACCACACTTATGGTGAGTGTCCAAACACTAATGTAACGTCAAGAGGTCAATTTCGCTCTTGTAGGTTGAGTTAGTTACGTTCCTGTTTTTAAAATCATGTTATGTGTCTTTCTTTAAGCCGCTTCCCAATCATGTATCTAGCGCCGCATTACGAACCTTTTAGAAGATTTAGCGTGAATTCGATGTCCAAAAACTCCACATGCACCACAGATTTGAATTAGGAAACTGAGTACTTAAGAGTCAAATAAGCGATCGAGGCTCGTAGTTAGTAAACATTTTTCATGATCTTTCAAAATGCGATTCACCCATATATTTTTTTATGGCAATACAAGCCGAAGACGACTAGACCACAGCTGTTTTAAATCTTTCTGCTATCAAATTATTACTTAAGGCAAATCCTTAAAGACCGTTGTTTTTGTTGCAGCGTTGTCAGGTACAACGCAGGGCCGCGCGTTGAACCTGCTGGTGCTTCTCCTGCCGGCGGAGCAGCGTGCTACCCTGCGCGAACTACTGCGCCTCGTGCGCCACATCGTCGCGCACCACCACACCAACAAGATGACCGAGCACAACGTCGCCATGATCATCGCGCCCGCGCTCTTCCCGCCCAGGTGAGAACACTACCTATAAAACAATATAGGCCCCAGTGGACAACCCTGAGGAACACTCGTTTTAAAATAAAACCAACAAGATCGCCATGATCATCGCGCCCCGCACTCTTCCCGCCCAGTTGAGCTATACATACAGTACAGGTCAAAAGAAACACCCCTGAGGAACACTTTTAAAGCTTTTTTATAAACTCGCCCATGCGAGAAGACAAGTTTGCTATATGAAACAGCACTGGGCATAGGAGACATCCCTGAGGAACACCGGTTTTAGTTAAAACTAACAGGATGACCGAACACAACACAGACTTTCTTACCACCCCGCTTGTTGAACAGTATGTCCCAGAAGACTACCCTAAGGAACACCTTTTTGAAAGCTGAACTCTAGATACTTACTTGAGTCTATTTACTAGTGTAAATTGAATATCTTCGTCAAGCTCGCACATTCTTGTAGTTGGGATGATATACCGAAATGAAACGCACTTGAACAAGGTCAAAAGCGTTACTGTGGTCATTAACATTGGGCTACATATCTGTAGTCGAGTTTATTGCATGTGTCACATTTAGCAATCGTAAACAAGTGTGAATTATCAAAACACTAACTTGTATTTCCTTTCCAGCCTACTGATCAAAGCATCAGACAGCCTGGAGACGCAGCTCGCCACCGCGGCCAACAGCTGCCACGTGACTGAAGCGCTCATGCGCTGGTGCGAGCAGCTTTGGACGGTTCCAGCATCGCTGCTCACCGCAGCGCAGCGGAAACCCCCGCCACACCGGCGGAACCACCACACTTGAGCCTGATGCCCCCACAGATGGGCCACGGATATGACACTATGCATATCGTTTGTTCGTCGCGTTAAATTTCAGCAAATATGCTTTGTTTTTGGATTTTCCGCATGGAAAATTACTAGCCAAAATGTTTTATGGCTGTATATTTGATAACAAAGATGCAAGAATTGCATCATGTAGGATTACGCAAATAACTATTGCTAAATTATTATAAGATCAAATATATTATTGTGAATAATTAGTTACGAATACTAGAATATACGTAGATATAATGCAGTGCATGTCCGTGGTCACTGGCATCCATTGGTCAATAGAATGCATGAAGATAACATGCAGGTGGAGTAATATTATACAAGCTACATGCAGTATCGTTGTTGTGTACTTTGGAAGACAATGACTGTATTATTCGCCACAGTTATTCCTGCGTGTTAGCTTCGTGTGGAAACCAAGAGGAGACATGAGGCCTGAAGCCACAAGTGTCAGAGACAGTGTACCTAGTTATGAGTTATGTTTCAGTCAAGTTGTGCTGTGCTTAAAGTTATATGAACAATGTTGCAATTGAGTGATATGATAAATATTATTTAATGATAACAATTATACATATACTCCGTGTTAATCTTGTAGTTAACGCATTTAGTGTGGTATACAAAATGTGAATGAGATGCCAAATATTCATCATATTCCTTAATTTAGTGTTATATTGATATTTCTGTGTGGTGGCTGAGCCTAAGCGAAATTGTCCTTAAATTCACGAATTTGTTTGTGTAAAAGAGAAGGTGTGGTGCCATTGAATCGTTTGGTTTGTATACAAAAGTTACCACTTTGGCAATGTAATGGTTGTTATGGATTTATAACATGGTGCCTTATATTGCAATAAAATATTTAAAATTATAAGTCTCCACAATCAGAATTCCATGTATTCTTTGTATTTAATGTAAATATGTTTTTCTAAATAGCTTTCGTTTTGTAAAATATTTTACCAATACTTTGACTAGGCAAGCAAAGACTGACTTGGTGTATTATTAATAAAGTATAATGATATTTCGTAAGTGTATTTACTTCCATATTATTAAATAATTAAAATAAAATGCATATTATTACAACACATTTTTTATTTTACCCAAAAACTAGTATTTGAAGTTTTTAATGAGATAGATGGCTTCATTATCTGCCCCACAGATTACCTTACCTTTATCACAGTGGAGGGTATTGATGGCTTTGTGCAATGTAGGCATGAGGGAGTTGACCATCATTGCATTCTTATCTTCTAATGGCATCCAGTTCGTAACTTGGTTGTCTGGCCCTTTGGAGCTCTTTGTCATAGCTTCCATGTTCCAATCCCAAATCTCACCAGACACAGAACAAGTTAAAAGCTTCTGTGGGTTTTCTGGATGGAAATGCATTTCTGTGACACCAGCAGCATGTGCATTGAGCAGTGACGTTGGGAATGAGTTCACACGCAGGTCCCAAATGGCTAGAGATCCTGACTCACTACCTGCTAGAACTATGTGAGGCTGAGTGGGATGATTCAAAATGCATGTGGCTGCCATTTCATCTCCAGCAAGCAAAAATGATGCAGCTGGCTTGTTGTTGTTAGATCGGAGATCCCAGATTTTCATGTGGCCTCTTACATTACCGGTTATAATCTAAAAATAGTAAAATAGGACAACTGTTAGTTTCACAAAGTCGTTAAAATCAATTTCAAAAAGCGAATTATGTAGAAATTACCTCACTATGTTTGAAGAAACAAACAGAATGCAAGGAACAGCTATCAGCACCAGTAATAGTCCGAGTGGTTTCCCCTCGCCTGCCATTCAGTATGTTAATGTTGCCGTCTTCGCCAATTGTGACTATGTCACCATCAATAGCATCGAGAGAGGTACATGAGCAAAGGTCTGTCCTAAAATGTAAAACAGTAAAAACTTAGTCCCACATTGGAAATTACTATCAAATCAGTATCAGTATCAAAAGTAAACAAAAGATGTATCTAAGGTCAACATTTTGAAACTAATGAAGAAACCCTACCCTCTTTAGGGTTTAGGATAAATGACTTCAAGTCAGTGATTTGTCACAATGTAATTTGTTAAGTAAAAATTAGAGAGGTCTTAGAATTACACCTGTTCTAATGTATTCTATAAAAAAAAAAAACTGGAAAAATCATTCACACATGCATTGTTTAGTTAAAGCTAAGGAATTTGTAACATTATCTATCTACTCACCCAAAGTTATGTAGTTTTGTCCATGAATGTATTTCCCGCAACGGTGTCTGTTTCTCATAGGGGCTAATTTCCAGTAGACGCACGTCGCCGTTCGATGTTGAGACAACAATTTTGTTCTTGTCCGTGAACTTTATTTCTGTGACATCACCATCCACAGGGAATTCAGATAACGCCCGAGGATATTCTATCTCTTCATCTTCATGAGGACTCTCAAGGGTCCAAACTTTTATAGAGTTTGCTTCATCATCCCAACTGCCGGTGAAGAAACACTTCGTTTCTTCGTACTCTTCCGGGATCCATCGAATTTTGTTAATTTTTTGAGACACGAACGTACCTTGCACTTCTAATGGCATTTTCAAAACACTTAAAAGGTATTTTTTAGATTTATTTATTTGTTTTTAATTTTTGTATTTTGTTCTTAGCCGTTGCGCGAATTGTGAACATTTGCCAAAGTCAAACGTCACATTTTGAGGTTATAATAGTGACGCCAATAAAATAACGTTATCAACTATTTAAGATTCCGTTACCATTTAACTTTGTCAAATTTTCAGTACCGATTTAAAAGGCTGGCAGCAGCAGCGCCATTTAGCATGGAACGGAAAGGCAGCTTGTCGTGGGTGGCAAGGAAATTGAGTTTTATATGGCGAATATAATTGGTTTGGCTCACAGATATGGATAGATGCAGCATGTGTCAAAAATTGTATGAAGCCGAGCGTGCCACTTTTTAAACGTCATTAGTGTCATTTTAGCGAATTTTAGTGATTGCCGCAACGTAAAAGTAATCGTATCATCGTACTGCATTTGCAAAGTCATCGAATGATATCGTGTGACTCGATTCGAAAATTAATTAATTCCGATAAAACTGATAATTTGTTAAATACAAAACCAAAAACATGTTTATTTACCTTTTTAAAATAAATTAATTCTTACAAATCGTCAAATCTCGTTATTTTTTTTACCCTACCAGCGTTTCAAGACATAAATTTGTCAAGTGCATGAATACATGCATCAGTGTGTGTCTTATTGTTATGAGTAAGTACGGTTCCTTGGGATCGGTATGAGTGCACCACATACAGGGACCATGGTTTTAACTCTTAAGAGTACATCGCAGGATATGTATTAAAAACAATGCTACTTTATACTTCTTCTACTGCTACTTTATTCTAATTAATTATTTGTTACTTGTGCTGTTAATTATAATTCTCAATCCGTAAATAATTTCTTCTTTCTACCGTGTTCGTACTACTGTCCTCGTAAAATCATCGTAACCGATTGTTGTAATCGGATTACATGAACATCACTCGACCATGTATGTCCATTTGGACATATCGGAATGGCACGCTTTGACGATCAACTTGCTGTATCTACTCTAATCCATATCTGTGGTTTGGCTTATTTAAAGTTACAATTACTATACGACAGTTAAAATTCGTTCTCGTCCCGATGAACATTTAAAAACATTGAGGATTGTGATGACTTTTAAATTTTGAAATGGCTGAAACGATGTTATAAATAACGAATAACGTCAAAACGTTAGTTGTTAATTTTGTTGCAGAACTATCTGTCAGCTGCTATTTACTCTTTAAACCATTCATTCATTTTCGTCTATCCTTTTCACAGAATCTGTGATCCTTTTCGCTCCTACGACTTCTTCCACAGATATGGATTAGAGAATGAGGATCATTTCGATTTTTAGCTGTGAATGCAGATTTATAGGGCTAAGAAATCCTTAATACACAGTGCAAAAATTTTTGTTCTACGACAAAAATTGACGAAGTTATGGCCAAATTACTAAAAAAGTTCACTGACCGCCCGGCGCGGGGACGATGACGTCATTATATCCGATCCGAACGCTGCCGGCGTACTGCGTGGATAGAAAATATTTTTTTCTAGCCAAATTATCAGTTTTAGGGCTGATTTTTCAATCGTTGGATAACTTTTAACTTAAGAATAAACTTGTCATTTTGACATATTTCCCATACTGAAACTGTCAATGTGTCAAACTTATTCTTCAGTTATAAGTTAACCGACGATTGAAAAATCGGCCCTTAGAGAAAAACTTGTAATGACATTTATTCATCAGAATAAAGTAAGCTATCGATAGGTAATTTTAGCACGGAGCGGCTGTCCTTTCCTGCAGAAGCTGGCCCGCCCATGGGAACGGCGAATAGATAGGTAGGTGCGTAGGTTTAACTCAGAAAAACTAAATAACAGGTAGGTATTAACTTATTAAGTGTACATCGAAATGATTTTCATAGCAATGTCTTATTATTAGAAGTTATACCTTATTGTCAGAAGTGTGGCGTTCGGA